TACTGCCTCCCCCCTGCCAGTATTTTCATAGACATGTGTAGCTACCCACTGCAGTGAGGACACAGTCTTCTTTTTGCCACAGTGGGTGGCTTCGTGTAGCTTACATGCTATCACCAGTGTAACCAAGGTGTATTTGACAGTGGCTATATAAAAGGTGAAGAACAAGTTGTGTGTATGTAGTGGTGGTGAGGACAAGGGATTGAATCACACAGAGATTAAAATGGCTTTCTCAAGATCACAAATTTGGTGTGGGGCAGAGCAAAGTACTGAACATGACTCTGCTGAGTCCTCCTCCACAAAGATCTTCCTTCCTCCTCTCAGGTTTTTTGTATGGAGGAAGGCAGGACATAATTCAAGGCCAGACAGGTGATAAGGAGTTCTGCCGTTGCTCCTGGGACATAAAAATCCAGCTGTGCTATTGTAAATGGAATTAAGAATTCAAGAACTATCTGTTCTTTTTCAACTTCCTTTCCATATGAAAAGTCCGGGTACAGTCATGATATATATACAAAACGGAGTCCTTTTTTTTGGTCTGGGAACAGGTGTCACTTGTAACTAATGTTCAAATTGGAACAGTACAAAGTGATTTACCCTGCTGTCATTTTGAATTGCTTTCTTTATGATAGTAGTTACTGCAGGTTTTTTCACTTACCTTTACCTTGCCTGCACTGCATTTGTATATGTACAAGAAGAAAGAAGTCATCAAGGAGATGTGTCAATAATAAAGGAGCTATTAGATATCAAAGCCTGCATTGTGTTCAGTACACCTAGGTAGCTTGTTAAAACAGAACTGTCATATAAGGTTCAATATAACAAGTGCACATATAAGAAATGGGGGAGGATGCATTGTCACAGCTATGTGTTTACATGTTTGATCCCTTTTGAGACATCACAGATCTTTGACATCATGGATGTGTTACTAACATCTTGACAAGGGGCTCCCTCAAATATTTCAGACCTCAGCCAGAATGATATCTGATATTCTGTGGCTAAAATACCTCTTCCTGCCCCCCGCCCCAAATAATTCATTGTTCCAATACACTTTTTCCCCCCTACATAAACCATCAAACAGGAAGGGTGGGAATGGAGGCATCAGTCCCCAGAGAAGAAAATCCCAGGATTTTCAGCGTCAGACGTTGTGCTAATATGGACGTACAATCGCCTTTACCATGTGCTTTTGCAAGAAAGAGTAAGGGACGGCTTGGATTAATATCTCACTTTCATGTCCCCTTTCTGCATGAATGAACTTTGAAAAAAGAAGGGGTTTGTTTTCATCACATTGCTCAGTCAGTTGACACATCTTATGAATAGCGTGAGGAATTTTTGTGCATATGGTACAACTGGTTCACAAAATACTCTCTTTCCACCATGCCTCTCGTTGGATTTGATCAGTATTTGCCTATGAAAATGACCTGAGTTCACTCACTCAGTTTTTCGTTTTGTTTTTACTGTTTTGCAGGCATTGGAAAAAATGTCATCTGTGACCGAACAGCAACTCCCCTGGATGCCTTCAGGATGATGTCTGCGGCCCATTATTACCCCAAGCTCATGAGCATCATGGGGAATGTTCTTCGCTTCCTGCCTGCCTTTGTGAAGATGAAGCAGCTGATTCAGGAGGGCTATGTAGGGGAGCTGCTGGTGTGCGAGGTGCAGGTGCACAGCGGAAGCTTGCTGGGCAAGAAGTACAACTGGAGCTGTGATGACCTGATGGGGGGTGGGGGGTTGCATTCGGTCGGTACTTATATCATTGATCTCTTGACCTTCCTCACCAGCCAGAAGGCTGTGAAAGTACATGGGCTGCTCAAGACCTTTGTGAAACAGACAGAGCACATCAAGGGAATACGTCAGATCACCAGTGATGACTTCTGTACGTTTCAAATGGTTCTGGAAGGCGGGGTGTGCTGCACTGTGACCCTCAATTTCAATGTCCCCGGGGAGTTCAAACAGGATATTATTATGGTGGGTTCAACTGGACGACTGATTGTCATAGGCACTGATCTGTATGGGCAGAGCAACAGCTCTTCTCAAAGAGAACTCCTTCTAAAGGACTCCATGCCAGTCAGCAATTCCTTACTGCCTGAGAAGGCCTTCAGTGATATCCCATCCCCGTACCTTCAGGGTACTATTAAGATGGTGCAGGCCATCCGGCAGGCGTTTGAGGACCAGGATGACCGGAGAACCTGGGATGGGAGGCCCCTCACCATGGCTGCGACTTTCGATGACTGCCTGTATGCCTTGTGCGTGGTGGACACCATTAAAAAGTCAAACCAACTAGGGGAATGGCAGAACATTGCAATCATGACAGAGGAGCCGGAGCTGAGCCCTGCGTATCTCATCAGTGAAGCTATGCGCAGGAGCAGAATGTCTCTGTACTGCTAGCTTCACTCTGCTGTTGAAAAGGCAGGGAAACAACACCGTTCTTAAGGAATTATTCAGACAGCATAAAGATTTGGACATACTACATTTCACAACATGGGGAAATGAAAAATGTGGAGTTTTAAACCAGCTAAATTAGTTGGTGTCTTTGTAACAGTGACGGGAGCATTAGAAATGTCTAAGCTAGATAGATGGAAATGAGAATTGTTTAAGAGCTGACCTAAATAATTTGTATTAACTGTGTGGCAGCAGTATTAACTGGCTGGATAATGAGATATCATGGAATCAGTCTCATGCATGGAAGTGCTTAGCTGATCCAGTTCTGTTTACTGTGAAAGTTCAGGAAGTCCTTTCTGACTTACCTGACCTGCCAAAGGGCTGTGAAAGTTCTGTCATGTCAGAAAGTCTCCCGTGGCATCTGATGTGAAGAGTTCCTACCATGCCAGCTGACAATATCACAATGTACTACTACATCATTAACCACAGCATAGAATAGTAAGACTTGGTGTGATTAAGTATCACATGACCCAGACAAACTTGGCAGCTCAATTTTCATAACTTATTCTGAATGTTTTTTTTTTTTAACACAATTAAGTAGGGAACATTGTGGCTTTTGCAAACAAGTCAGTTTCCAACTGCAGCTCGTATGTGGAGGTGCAGGTCATGGGAGAGCATTCTACAAACTCATGCTAAGCTTCAGTGTTAGCTGTACAGATGTGCTCCTAAAGAAGGGTTGTGTAAAACCTTCATCGGCAAAATCCAAGTCATGGGTTGCTTTCCTGAGTTAGGGATTTTTACACAGCCAAAAGTTGGGCCAGGTTTACATACTTTCTTGAGAGTCTGGGATTCAGTTCCGAGTGGACATGAATGATGGCAAAAATATACAAAATGAAGTGGGCTTTGTTTTGAGTTTTTGTGTCTTTTTTTTAAATGTATGTGAACCTGAACCTTTAAAAAAAAAAAAATCTGTGCCAGTCACCATGGTCTGAATGAAAATCCACAAAGAATGAGAAAAATCCTTATGGATTTGAAGGGGGGAAAAAGCCAAAACCTATTTACCTGCCTAAAGTCAGCAGCCAGAGGTCCTGTTTTGTCTGTTCCCTGTGTCATCAGTGCAGGAACAGACAACTGGCCTCTGGTTTAGTTGTCCTTTTTGTCTTTAATGTCTTAGGCCCTGCTCTTGCAAACATTTTAAGTGGATGCAAGTGAATTGTCCTGGTGAATTAGTGGGACTCATTTTATGCATTAAGCTATTCATGTATTAAGAGTCTGAAGCATCACCAGGGCTGCGGCTATGAAAAATAACACAACAAAATGTAATCCCCAAAAGAATATACAGCAAAATTATATTTGTCTTTAAACTGAAGCAAAACTACTTACTTGGTTAAGCTGATGAAGAAAATTTATATTTGCTATAAATTGAGAGAAAAATTTTGAACCTTTTTCTCAGGTAAACTAGGTCAGTATACTCATCGATTGTTTAGATTTTAAAACATAATGAGTCTTTAACTTTAAAAAGTATGTTTACAGCTCTGTAATCTTTAGGGGCACTCTGAGCTCCCTTGGGAACCCTGCTACTAACCCATACCTTATTACCTTGTTGTCTTCTGTTATGGTCCAGGCTTTAGTGCTGCATTCACTGAACTGGGAGAGCAATTATAAGTACAAATTTTATTTTTTAAAAAGATGTAAAATCCTAGATATTTGTGAACTTTCATGACTTCTTCCCTGATATCTATGAATAGTGTTTCTGATGGAGGAAAATGTCATATAATTTGTTTAAATAATATTGTGAAGTGACTCAAACTATTGGATGATTACTGTTTGATCAGATCTAGCAATTGCATTTGTTGATTGCTACTTCTGCTAGGGCTCTGAGCAAGGATGCAGGGTTTTTCCTTGAAGGTTTCCAAGTTGTTTAAAATTATTAATTGGAAAATAATTGTCAATTAAGCAATTTAAGAAATAGCCAAGATTACAATCATTGCTGCACACAAAACTTCCTTTATTTAAATAAACCTGTACCCCTGTCTTCCCTCTCCCTCCCCCCCCCCCCCCCCACACAGACACACACAGAGGCAGATGAAAAACTAAATTTCTCTTAGCAAAAGAATTATATTACTCAGAGAGGGTCAAGCAACATATGGGCTGTGTCTACACTGGCATGAATTTCCGGAAATGCTTAAAACAGAATAGTTTTCGTTATAAGTATTTCCGGAAAAAGAGCGTCTACACTGGCAGGCTGCTTTTCCGGAAAAGTCCTTTTTCCAGAAAAGCATCTGTGGCCAATTTAGACGCGCTTTTCCGGAAAAGAGCCCCGATCGTCATTTTCGCGATCGGGGCTTTTTTCCAGAAAAGACTACTGGGCTGTCTACACTGGCCCTTTTCTGGAACAGTGTTCCGGAATAAGGACTTACGCCCGAGCGGGAGCAGAATAGTTTTTCCGGAATAGTGGCTGCTTTTCCGGAAATTCAAGGGCCAGTATAGACAGCTTGCAGCTTATTCCGGAAAAGCGACGGATTTTCCGGAATAAGTGGCCCAGTGTAGACACAACCATGTTGGTTTTTTTATAGGGCAGTATGGCATAATCTTGCTGAGGACAAAGTCAGAGTCATAGATGCAGAATAAAGGGGATGACTAAGACAGAAAAATCAGTGGCAGGGAGCTACGTATGATAAATCAGTTATGATAAAAGAAAACATCATCTGAAATTGTAGCCCAAATCTGAATTTAAATGTGAACTTTTTTATATATATAGTTTCTCTTCATTTATGATTTGCACTGTGGTAGGGCTACAAAGCCCCAGTCATGGACCAGGGCTCCACCGTGCCATGTGCTGGGCACAAAATTTAGTATCTTTGCCATCTATATTTTTAACAATTATGTCTCTAGGCAGTTTTATGGTTCCGGCTGGAAGCATGAGTGTTGGAATCCTGGGTCTTGTTTCTGCACTGAACTCCATGCAGGCAGAATGAGGAGACCTATTAATTTCAGTGTTTGGCTACATCAAGGCTAACAAGTTTTGTTGATAAAACATATGTCGACATCTCAAAGTCGACAAAACAAAAATCGCCAGAGAGTGTTCAAGCTTGCAGCCTCTGTTGACAGATCATGCCCCCACACTAGGGGCACCATCATCAACAGTGTGAGCAGTGCACTGTGGGTATGTAGCCCACATTGCAGTGTTGTGGGAAGGCAAAGCTCACCCCTGGGCATGATGGGATTCTCTCCCGAGTTCTTCCATAGCCTCGTCAGCTGCTGGGAGCATCATCATGAGGAGCTGTTTGTGCTCAGGATTGTCAAAGTAGCACAGCAGCCTGTCCCCCTCCCCTGCAATAGCAGTCTGCCTGTCGGTGTGTTCCTAGTGCAGAGCAGAAGAGGAATGGTCCAATAATTCGCTCTTTGTTCCCCAAACAGAGCAGCCTACTCTGTCACATACTTCCCAGAGCTTTGAAAGGGGAGGGGCACATGCCTGCAGGCAGCAGAGATCAAAACACTGAGCACAGCCATCAGGGCAGGCATTGTGGGATACTAGTGGAAGCCAGTTCTGTCGATAAAACAAACCATAGGGTACGTCTTGACTTCAGGCTTCTGTCGACAAAGAGCGTCTAGACTACATCCAGTTCTGTTGACAAAGCAACCCGCTTTGTCAACAGGAGAGAGTAGATGCAAAGGACAGTGTACATGCAATAACGCCTTCTGTCGACAGAACTCTGTCGACAAAAGGCGTTATTCCTCGTAGAATGTGGTTTACTGCCGTTAACAAAACTGCCGAGTTCTGTCGACGTTATGTTGCCAGAACTTGGCGGTAGTGTAGTCACAGGTATAGTCTTGTCGACAAAAGTCCACTTTTGTTGACAAAATCCTGTAGTCTAGACACACCCATAGTGTCTACACTGGCTCTTTGTCGACAGTAAAGGGAGGAGAAAAGAAAAATGTCTCTTGTGGGGTGGAAGTTCTTTGCTTCAAAACTGGGCATTTTTCCAACAAGAGTCACACTGCAGTGTGTATTCTCTCACTGTTTTGTCACCAAAAGGTAGTTTTTGTCAACAAAACTTGGCAGCGTGGACACTTTTTTGTCCTAAGCTGAAAGCTTTCAGGTGGTGTACATCATGCTTGCTCTTCTTGGCTCTTATTGGTTTGGATACTGCAATTTTGCAGACTTTAACTTTAATTGGGATGGTTATTGCTTACTGTCAGGATTATATTAAGTTTTTCTACTTTCAAGGATGTAAGATTGGATGAAATATTGCTCTGGGCAAGATTTTGATCACATCAGATGTAAATATATTAAACTGCTCTCTGAATCAAAGGAACAAGTGACTAAGTTATTTATAGAATGTGTCATAATATTCCAATAAAATTATGACTTACTCTATAATAAAGGGCTGTTTGGGGTCAAGCCCTAATTATTTTTGGGGAGATTTTGAAATACACTAAGCAGAATGCTGCATCTGGCCCCTGGAGTTCACATCACATTTAAGAATGTGGCCAACTGTGGGGGGAAAAAAGGTTTACAGTATTTAACCAAAAAGTGCTACAGTACTAGGGACTATGTGTTTGGAATAGCAGACTAATACTACTACTCTTTCACTAGTGCCACAAGACTTGAGGTGCTCCTGGAATTGGTGCAGACCCAGTTTTCCAATTCAGGCTACTAGAAGTAACCTTGTGTGCTTGCTAAATCATAGTCTTATTTTCTAGGGCTGCTTTTGGAGAGGCTCTTTTCTTTGCCATTCATTACTTGTGTATAGGTGCTATTAAAAATTGTGGTCTGCTGCCAGAGAGGCAGAGAACCAAAGCAATGCTCATTAAGAGGCAGGTTATGCCTTGCAGCTTTGGGGGAGGAAGGCAGTCCGATCCAGCACCCAGTGAATTCAACAGAAAGATTCCTATTGACTTCATGTTGAGTTAACTTTGGCTCCAAGGGAACAAGGAGATAAGAGAGGGCAGCTCCTCCTAGTGTCTGTGTAGTAGCAAGGCACAATTGCAGTCTTTCCATGTGCCCCATAAGTTTCAAGATCCCCCAACTGGGTGAAAAGATGGGCTCATGCCCCTGTATGTACCAGCCAGCAGAATGAGCTGGCCATGCAAAGGGAATATACTATAACCCCTGAAGGGGTGTAGCAACAGGTGCACTCAACCTGTGTGTTAGGGAGCTCAGGAAGTAGTCCTGTTTCCCCAAGGACAAAATTCCTGCCAGAACTCCCCCAGAGCTATGCACTGCCCCCAGTACAAGGCTCTGTTAAGCCCTAAACAATATTAGCAATCTCAGACTTCGGGCTTTCCTTTATCTTCTCTCCTGCACATGGCTAGATTAGTAGCATTCAACCTATATAATTAGAAAATACTTATGTCTACAGAATACATTCTTACCCACCATCCCTATACAGCATAGAGTCAGTGCATATATAGACATGCTCAAATTCAGCATTAGTTTCTCCAGAACTCATCCTAACCCAGTGTTACTTAAACTTTTTGAGACCATAGAACACCAAAAAATATTTTTTTATGCGGAACACCTATGAAAATTTTCTTCAAAAAAAATTGTTTGTCAGACAAAAAAAGACAAAAACAAAGAAATAACAAAAACAAAGAGGAGGTCGCGGCACAACACCAGTGTTCTGTGGAACATAATTTAAGAAATACTGTCCTACCCTTTGGCTTGAAAGCATGAGAAATTGCTGGCTGGCTGGCTTAGGACAATCAGAAACACTCTCTGCTTTGTACTGAATTTTTTTCTTTACTCACCTTCTCAATAGCTTTTGAGTTACAATGACCACAAAAGAGAAGGGGTATTCCCTCTCTGCACCATATTATCCTGGCAGGTAAACTATTCCATTCTGGCATTACCCTTTGCATTTTTATGTCCATAAAAGTATACCAAAAACTGAAAATAGCGGTTTGGTACAAAAATTATTAGCTGATTATTATTATTATTATTTAGCTGATTTTGTTTCACAAAAGACAGAGTCTTTGCAGAGAGATCCATAAACGTCTATTGACAGCAGTGCTTGTAATTGGACGTTTTTAGCCCTGTACTTCTATATGTATTGAAAGTATAATACACTGAGGCTACGTCTAGACTGGAATGATTTTCCGCAAATGCTTTTAACAGAAAAGTTTTCCATTAAAAGCATTTGCGGAAAAGAGCATCTAGATTGGCACGGATGCTTTTCCGCAAAAGCACTTTTTGTGGAAAAGCATCCGTGCCAATCTAGACGCGGTTTTGCGCAAGAAAGCCCCCGATCACCATTTTCGCGATCGGGGCTTTTTTGTGCAAAACAATACCGCGTTGTCTACACTGGCCCTCTTGCACAAAAGCATTTGCGCAAGAGAGCTTTTGCCCGAATGGGAGCAGCATAGCATTTCCGCAAGAACACTGACAATCTTACATGAGATCGTCAGTGTTCTTGCGGAAATTCAAGCGGCCAGTCTAGACGTAGCCTGAGTGTAATCTGTTTACTGTTTTGTTTTTTTTTCACCTAAAAGCATCTTGGTACAGACCTTGGGCTTTTAGCAGACCTTGGCTTTTTGCAGCTATGTAATGTATTGGCTTAACACTCTTACCTCCTTGATGGGTAACTGATGTGCCCTTAAATACCTGAAAAGCTCAAAATTGAACTGTTTGACCTCTAAAGATAGCTTCTGGGTATTTAGGACTAGCTATGAGTGGACAGGTTTATTAGCAGATTTTTGTTGTTGCTCTTGTTAAAATCAGAAGCAAAATCTATAAATTTTGCACATGAAGTATATGAATGAATAATCTTTAATCCTGTTAACTTAAAATTCTCTCCTTGCTGGGGATTTCTTAACCTACATGGTATAGTGCATTACATCACAATGACAGTAAAAAAAGCTTACCCCAAAATTCCCACTTGCTTCCTGCATGAAAGGAGGAACTGTAAATAGACAGGACTGCACATAGGGCAGTATTCATGAACCCACCTACATACAGCTGCACTACTGTCTCTTTCCTGCTGCTGCTCCGATGTCAAGCATTTGGAACCAGGATTGTGCCACCAGGGAACCTGAATTACCTCTTTTTTTTTTTTGGAGAGGATGTTGCCTCTAAATCAAAATTGTCATCATGGCTAGATCAGCAGTGAATGAGTTTTAACTGGGCCAGATTCAGTCCTGATATAAACTGGTGCAATTCCATAGATTTGTATTGTCAGTCTGATTTTGGCCCAGTGTATTTCACT